AGCGTGATGAAATCTCACGCTGTCCCGCTCTGCCCTGCCTGGGATGTGAATCATCCCTTTGTCCAGTGTATCCACTCCCCGCCCGCCCATTAGTCACTTAGAAGTCGGCTGGGTTATCAGATCGACTGTTGCAATATTGAAGTGCCTGTGTTCAAGTAACCCTTATTTTACTTACATTATTATCGTTATTGTCCTGTTTGCTTATTAGTGCTTGTTGTTCACCTCTCACCGTTCCTAATTTCCAAGGTAAAATTTATCAAATGCATGTGTGTATAGGAAAAAACATAGCGTACGTGGGATTCCGCGCTATCAGTCCTTTCAGGCATCTACTGGGGTTCTTGGAATACATCCCCCCACTTCGGGAATGAGGGTGGGGGAGACTATAGCGTATGGCACTTAGGGTGCTCAGGAAATGGAATTATACAAATGAGCGATTTCCTGTTTTTCTCCGACCTCCACTCCCTCACTCCCTGCTTGCCCACACAGAGGTGACAGGTTAAGTCAGCCCGTTTCTCAGACAGGCCTTCTGGAGCCCAGAGAGAACAAGGCTGACGGAATACCACACAGAAAGAGGGATAGGCTTGGAATTGATTGCGCTTTGGGGTGCCTTGCATGGTGTTCTCATCGACTTCGTTTCTCCCTTAGGAAAAAAAAAGGGCCATAATTTGAGGAAACCTGGGGAGAAAATAATAACTGGGGCCAGACAGGATGTAAATAATATTAAGAACAATGACCACTTAATATGTGACAGGCACAGGTTCAGTACATTCTGTGTATTTTTTTGGGGGGGGGAACCTATAGCAAGCTTAGGCAATAATGAGTATCATCATCATCATCATCTGCATCATACAGGAGAGGAAACTGAGGCTAGAATGGCTTCAAGCTGGGACTGGAACCAAGGGAGTCTGACACCACAGACAACCACTAGACTATATCACTATCCACGAGGAAAGCAGAAGAAGAGGGAAGGCAGAAACAAAGGACAAAAGAGTCATACAAATTCTTTTCTTTTTTTGAAAGATTTTTATTTATTTACTTTTAGAGAGAGGGGAAGGGAAGGACAAAGGGGGGCAGAGAGATATCTATGTGTGGTTGCCTCTAGCGTGCCCCTCACTGGGGACCTGGCCCACAACCCAGGCATGTGCCCTGACTGGGAATCAAACCATCAACCCTTTGATTCACAGCAGGCCAGCACTGAATCCACGGAGCCACACCAGCCAGGGACAACTGTCCTTTTTCTAAAAGCATGTTGTTTTTCCATATCCTGTTCACAGAAGTTGCTTTATTTTTTACATCAGGCCTGTGAGGTATTGGGAAAGGAGGACAGAATCTCAGATGTGTTGTGGAATCACTTTCAAGCAGTGATTTCATTTTGTCCTCAAAATACCACTGCGAAGCCCTGGTTGGTGTAGCTCAGTGGATTGAGCGCGGGCTGTGAACCAAAGCATCGCAGGTTCAATTCCCAGTCAGGTCACATGCCTGGGTTGCGGGCCATGGCCCCCAGCAACTGCACATTGATGTTTCTCTCTCTCTTTCTCCCTTCCTTCCCTCTCTAAAAATAAATAAATAAAATATTTTTTTAAAAACTTTGAACATAACTCTTTAAAACAAAATACCACTGTGAAAGGGTTCAGTTACCCCTTCACTGTACACGTGACATCCTGAATCCAGTAAAGGTTACTTCTTTTTCCTACACCTTCCTCTCGTCCCCTACATCCAGCACAAGCCTGGCCTGAGATTGTGTCCTGTTGAGGATTTTCTATAAACCAAAGTATTCTGAACTCTCATGGTCCTAAACATGTGGATCCTTGCATAATCCCAAGGCCTATAAATTGAGAGTAGTTTGCCCCCATGGATCTTACATCAAATTATTCCCCTGCTTTTTACTGATGATATGATTCCGTGCTAGTCACTTAACGTCACCTCTACAACAGTGGTAATGGCACCTCCTGCTGCACAGGGTTGTGAAAATTACATAACTTCCATGAATGTGCTCAGTCATTGGGACACTTCACAGAAACGTTATTTAAAACAGAATCACCAGCTCAATCTGAAAAGAGCCCCGGAAGGGCAAAGGAACATTTGTACCTCTGACCTTGGATCGCATAGGCCTCCTGGTCTGCGACTGTGGTTGGTGACTTTGGGAATGCTGGGGGACAAAGAATGCAGAAGGTCCTGGAAGTGACTGTTGAGGACATTATTGATGCATTATTTATAGCATTGTAGAGACATCTAAATTCTTTATATCACATACTTCTCAAGGTAGTTTTGTCTACAGTATTTACCGTATTTTGGACTATAAGACGCACCCCCCAACCCCCTACCCGCCCCAAATTTGGGAGGAATAATAGTTGTTAATGCTGCTGTTGAGTTCTGTTTACATTTACATTGGTGAAATATTATGTCGTTTATGTTATTACATATTTTACCACATTTTTTGCTTCAAAATTTTTTTTCCTATTTCCCTCTAAAACCTAGGTGCGTCTTCTGGTCCACACAATACGGTACTTGCCATTCACAAAAACCTCCCAAGAAGTAGTCTTTACCAATTGGTTTGTTACTGTTTTCCCCTTCCTGGAAGTGGCCCACCTGGATTTGCAAAATCCTTCTCATCGTCCCTTTGAGGCCCCTCCTCCCCAAACGCCAGCTTGGTCCAGAACACAGCCCTGAACCCTTGGTCAGTCTTCTGTCTGCTCTATGAGTCCACACAGCCCTGTACACCTTCGACAGCCCTGCATACCAGTCATTTATATACTGGCCTTAACCTCTGTCCCTCCTTCCCGGCCTTCTCCCGGAATCCACAAAACCTTCCAGGGGAAGAACAGAGAAAGGAGGAATGGTTTCTCAGTTGTTTGATGTCAGTCCCATTCTTAAAGCTTTTGTTATGGAAAATCTCATGTGTGCATGTTCATAGAGAGAGCAGAAGAAATATAAAATGAACACCCATGTGCCCATTACCTGGCTTCAACAACTAGTAACACGTGAACAATATTGTTACCTCTTGCCTTCTTACTCGGGGTTATTTTATTTTTTTTAAGATTTTATTTATTTATTTTTAGAGAGGGAAAGGAGGGAGGGAGAGAGAGAGAGAGAGAGAGAGAGAGAGAGAGAGAGAGAGAGAGAGAGAGAGAGAGAGGGAGAGAAACATCCATGTGCAGTTGCTGGGGGCCGTGGCCTGCAACCCAGGCATGTGCCCTGACTGGGAATGGAACCCGCGATGCTTTGGTTCGCAGCCCGCGCTCAATCCACTGAGCTACACCAGCCAGGACTGTCTGGGTTATTTAAAAGGAAACCTCAGAGAGACTGCTATTTTGTCTGTAAGAAGTCCAGTATGGATGCCTTGTTTTGCACTTCCGTGTCCCCTACAGTTCGAAGAGCATTTACATCTGTGCTCCCTACCACTGGGAGCAAGTCAAAAGATGATTTCTGAGCACCTACTATGTGCCAGACCTTATGCTTGGCTCTGCAGCCTCTGGCTGAGCTAGGGAGACACACTAGAACCAAGGCATGAGGTTCCGAACCAAGAATTGCCAGGGCACCAGAGAGCGAGCACCGGATGCACGCGGGAGCCCAGCACCAGGACCTCAAATGGCACTAAATGAATTGAGCTGAATCTGTTTTCTCCTCTAATGGAGACCCTCAATTCGAAGTCGCCGCGAGTCACGGATTCTCCAGCAGGAGGCGCTGCAAAGGCGGGGCGGGGGATGCTGGCTCTGTTGCTCCTCCTGCTGGAGCGGGAGAAGTCGACCAGAGCCCGCTGTGGGTGCAAACTTACAAGCGACAACACAGTTTAGTTGGCGAGCTGGACGCTGAGCGCCAGGGCCTGAGAGGGGCCCCAGGTGCCGGGCGGGGGCGCAGGGGGCACGGGATAGGCCGGGCACCTGCTCTCAGTTCTTCTGGGCGCTGCCCGTTGCACTGAGTGTCGCCAGTTCCCGTCCCAACTGCCGCTGTTCCTGATAGAATATCTCCAAGCAGGGCACGGGGCAGAGCGAGGAAACACCTGTTTCCAACAAGAAAAGGGGTGGGGGGGAGCCCCTCCCAGGCTTCCAATGGCCCCTCATCGAGCCTGCTCTCTAGAGCCTTGTAAAAGTGCGCCCAGAAAGCCAGTGGAGATCATTTTTCAAAAAGATCGCTTTCTATTTCTTACTACCCCCTCCTTCTCCTAAGCTGTAACGTCCCTTAAAATGTCTTCTTTCCTCCGTGGGGTTTCCCGCTCCTCCCAGACCCCTTAAGGCCCCGCCTTGATGCCTGCAGGGACCGCCGCCACCCCCAAACCCAAATTTCGCAACAGCATTCGCTTCCGGATTCTTCACTTCCTCAGCCCCCTGCCGACCTACAGGTGGGGAGTGGGACTGGGGAGGGGGGGAACAGAACAAAGAAACCAAGGAGCCCCTGTCCCAGGCCAGGCACCCCTTCTGCAGCCTCCGACCAGCCGGGCAACAAGAGGGGCTCAGGAAAGGGGGAACGCCCGGGTCCCGGCCTCAGGACACTTTCCCAAGGCTAGCAGCCCGAGGACGCGTGGGAGGTGGGGACTGCCCCCGCGCAGCAGACACAACTCCACGCAATAGGCCTGAGTGGCCGTGGGCGCCAGCAGCCTCCACGCACTGGGCTCCGTTATTTCATCAGCAGTTTCAGAAAAACCTGCCAAAAGCAGTTATGCCTCACTGCAATGTGTAGCTTTTTCCTGCCATTTTTTCATAATAAAAGAGGGAGTGAAGCTCGCTCGCTCTCTTCCCCCCTCCACCCCCCTCTCCCAAAAAGAGCCAAATGGATACGAGAAGGGAGGAAAAAAAAAAGAACCCACACACCAATCTCCGAGGGGATGCCAGTGAGGTGTGGCTTGTATTTAAATATCCAATATGTCAATGTAAGGGGAGTGGGTACGTATATAAAGTGCCGTTTGCATCCCATACCTCGACGAAGCCAGCTATGAGAGGCCTGGGGAGATGGATGCGGAGGGAGAGCGGCACTTTGACTGAGAGCAGGGTCAGAAGCGCGCTGCCCCACGCTCCCCGCCGCTGAGAAGTTCCTTGGACGCGAACAGACGTCGGCTGCAGCTCTGCAGAGCGCGGAGCAGCGAGCGAGCGAGCGAGCGCAGGCGAGTCGCCCACGCCCGCCGCGCTGCGGGGAGAGGCAGTCCGCGCACCTCCTACCCGGCTCGGCCCCGCGCACCCCGCCATGGCGGAGGTGGGGGGGGTCTTCGCCTCCTTGGACTGGGATCTGCACGGTTTTTCCTCGTCTCTGGGGAACGTGCCCTTAGCTGACTCCCCGGGTTTCCTGAACGAGCGCCTGGGCCAGATCGAGGGGAAGCTGCAGCGCGGCTCGCCCACTGACTTCGCCCACCTGAAGGGGATCCTGCGGCGCCGCCAGCTGTACTGCCGCACCGGCTTCCACCTGGAGATCTTCCCCAACGGCACGGTGCACGGCACCCGGCACGACCACAGCCGCTTCGGTGAGGACGCGGCCGGGAGGGGCGGGAGGCGAGCGGTCGGACGGCGCGCGGGGGAGCTGACGGCTCTGAGCTCAGGCTCGGGGCGCCGCGGACCGCCCCCAGCTCCGTGCCGTCGAGGGACTCGGGGCTGGCGGGACGCGATCGTGCGGACTGGAGCCGCGAGGCGTCCGGGCGCCTGGCCCCCCTGACACGATCAGGAGGGGACTGGGACGCGGGTGCCTTGAGGTGCGGCCTCTGCTTTCTCCAGCCCTCTCTCCTTCCCCTGGGTGCGAGGGGGATCGTTGTGGGACCTGGACGCTTTGCTCCAGCTGGAAGCAGGTGAAGCTGGCAGAGGGGAAGGAGCACCCGCCTAAGAAGTCAGGGACGCCGCAGCTGCAGCGCGGGGCTGAGCCTCGAGGGCAGGGTTGTCGCGGGCGATGCCCTGGACCAGCAGCCTTCGTGGGCTACAGACGTGGGGCCGGGCGGCCCCCATCCAAGTCACTTTTGGCCCGCACCTGCCGCCTCTGGGTTGCTCTGCCCGGGGTGGGGCCCATCCAGGCAGCTTCAAGGCAGGAGCTGGGTGCTGGGGAAACTAGGAAAGCCTTCAGGTGTCCAGTGTGGAAGGGCACAAGCCCTGGGGTACATTTGGCCCGGAGCTACCTGTGGACTCCTTGCCTCGGGGAAGAAACGGTGGTGGAAACAGGTGTCTCCTGGGCTCAGGACAGGAAACGTCCAACCTCCATCCAGGATTTTGTCCGTGCCCACCCCCAGCAATCCTGCAGATTGTTCAAAGGGCAGAACTGCTGGTCTCGCAGACGCAACACAATGAATAGAAACCTCAATCTGAGACAGAGATCACTACCTTTCTAAGCAAATGTGTTCGCTCCTCCATAATTGGGCCATATTTAATGTGCAGTTTGGTATTCTCTACCACGCCATTGTTCCGGTGCTGTGACAGCTACCCTTCCTCCGGCCCTGGGGCCCCCAGTGTCCCTACCTCCTCCCAAGCACCCTGCGGCCCAACGATACCTTCTATCCCTAAGCCCGTAAGAGAGGTTTTGCCTAGCTTCAGACGTGAGAAGTTCCCTTCTTTTGCCCACCCTCCTTCACTCCCCGCAAACCTCCCCATCCTCCTATTCCCCGTGCCTTGTGAGAGCTGCATCTGGAGCACACAGTACAGAGGGGGGCTGCGCAGAGGCCAAGTGTAGCAAACAACTTAGGGCCAGGGCTGGTCTTCCTTGCTGGGAGCAAGCAGGAACCCTAATGAGGTCTATGTCATCTTGGAAAAATGCACTCACAGAGCCGCAGTGCAGTGGGCGGTGTGTGGGGTGGGGGTAACGGAGGGGTGCAGGTGTCTGGATAAACTTGCAGCACGTCCTCAAAAGGGCGATAAGGCGGCGGCGTGGAGGGAAAGGCGGTGTTAACGTGGCTCCCTCTCCTTCCATCGCATATGACCCTTTTGTTCCTCTTCCGAGGTAATGGGGTTCCCACGCCGGCCTCAGAGCCCCCCAGAGGCTCCCAAAATGGCCGAAAACTATTGGAGGGGCTCATTCCTGATATACACAAGCAAAATGAAGAAATGATGGGTGGGGGGGGCAGCAGAGGTAGGGACACGAGGAGCTTGGCTCCCAGCAGCTACAAGTGGTTTGTCTGACTGTGCCTAAGCTGAGCCCAGTAACCTACAAGGTCAACATAAATCAGTAATAGGCTCTTGGGATAAGTGGTCTTTAATTACCTCCCTAAGGACACATCTTGATTTCTTTTCATCTCTCGGGCCTGCTAAGGGTGTTAAGTTTAAGGAGAAACCCAAGGAAATAAAACTGGCAGGAGGAAGGGATGTTTTCACTGCTGCTTAACTGACTGCTTCATTTTGGATTTTGCCTTGAACAAAAAAAAAAAAAAGAAAAGAAAAGAAAACCCTGCCCGAGACCACCTCTGCATCACCTTTTCCCTTTCCTCCTTCGTGGGCTTCCTGGCACTTCCGTGTATTTCCTGTAAAGGAGATGATCACTGGTCAAAGCTGTCCCTTTGTAACCTCCCCTGCCAACTTCCAAACACACTTGTAGTCTTTCTCAGCCTAGTTTTTGGCAAAGAAAGAGGTGGCGTTTGCGTTTGCTAACTCCTCCCTCCACATTTGAGTTAATCAGCCAGGGTATTCAATAAATCGAAACTTTAACATTCCATAAGTGCTTTAGCAGTCAACATTCCAGCAGGGTAAAGTAGGCCAGACTTAAGATATAAAATATTATAGATTTCTGCTTGGGGGGAGGAGGCAGGCTCCAAAGGCCATGTAAAGTAAATAGCTATTTGTTGTAATTGGAGAGCAGGGCCCCCAAGGATTACCCTGGAATCCATGTGTTCAGAACGAGTCGGGCTGAGCCCAAGAGCAGCCCCGACTCCAAATAATAACCTGTTGGCACAGCCTGTCCTCCCCCCTCCCCGCCCCCAACACCCCCATTCTGCAATCAGTAGCCAGGAGGGTTCCAATCTCCGCCTGGCTGGTGGCATTTACGGGAGGTTCACAGGGATCCTGACATTCTTGAGGGGCACCTGTGGCCTGGCATAGTAGGGGCTTGGGAGCCAGACCGGAGGAGAGGCCTCCCGCCAGGTGGGATGGAGCAAGCTCCTGCAGCTGCTTTGGGTTTTGAGCGATCTGGTTCTTATTTGGCAGCATGCCAGGGCAGCACTGTCTTGGCCACGAAGGTCTGAAAGGATGGCTGAGGGAGCTCAGGCAAGTTACGGAGCCAGATTAAATGACACGTTAGCCAGTCTCCTGGCTGCGTTCTGAGGCGGCGGGACCCGGGAATTGTCAAGCAAAGGCCAGGGCTGAGGTGGGCAGGTCAGGATGTCACAGAGCAGAGGGAGGTCCTGGGATACGTGGGGGGGGGGGGGGGGTGGTGAGAGGACTGAGGACAAACTCTGTCTACTTAATACTTTGCCTCCACACTTTGCTGTTAACACCCCTCTCCAGCTGTAGCTGGGAAAATGAGAAAATGGCTTGTTTGCTCTCTCCCTTCACGCTGGCTGGAATTCAGGAGAAGGTTTAGGAATATCTGTTCCATCATCATGTGCCACCGGGTTCCCACAGTTTGAATCCAGCTAATAGGAAAGTTGGCAGAGGGAAATGATGCCCGAAGACAGCTGGGCAGGGATGATCCCAGCTGTTGGAGACCCCTGTTACTGGCCACAGCCCAAGTGACTTCCGGTATGATCTGTCCTTTGGCATCCGGTTAACAGAGAATTGGAGAAAAAACGGTGGTGACTCAAATGGCCACACCTCTTGGGTTTCATGATTTGTTCTCACACCAGGTCTTGGAGGGTGAGATCACAAGCTGACCTCGGCTACTTAATGAGCTCAGGGTGGTTAGAGGCATGAGGTTCTCAGGGAATGAGGGAGCTACGACTGGAAGCTCAGAAGGAATCTGCCCGAGCGGAGCAAAGGACTGAAGGCCCCAGTGGGTTGCTAGCCCTCAAAGCTGAGCGCCCAGAACGGAATCCTGACCTGGTTTTTTCATTTCCTTGCCACTCTGCCTGTTCTTCTTTCAACCTATTCCTTTTGCCGTAGCCCCCTTCAAACATAGTAGCACTAAGACCAATCCTATCCGTGTGGCCCAGCTAAGGCGGAGCAGAGTGGGGCAGTCCCCTCCCTTCTGCCAGCTATGAGACCGGGATCGGTACAGCCCCAAAACCACATTAGCTTTCCCCCCTTTTTCCTATGTTTTACACTAGCTCTTTAATCGTGTTTTATTTGGATATGACTAGGTTTCCATCAGCTCCTTAATAACCTCCTGAATCACCTGTGCTAGGCTTACCATGTTCAGTCCAATCCCCTAAGCCACTGGTGCGTGTGTTCTGCTAAGCCACATCTCCCCAGTGCAGAGATGGGCACACTGGCATGTGGGGAAAGGGCTTGAAAACAGACAAAAACAGGACATGTTTTCAAGGAAATACACAGGGCTGCCTGAAACGCGGAGCGGGATGGGAGCCGAGTATGGACATAAACAGAAAGAAATGGCTAAATAGAAAGCCCCTGCACAGACCCGTGATAATAGGCACAAAAGAGAACAGTGGGATTTGCTCAACTGTCTACACTTGAGGCTCCCCCTCCCCCTCCAAAACCCCAGACACAAAACATCTCGGGTAATTGGTCTGCGGACCGAAGTGCAGGACTTTACATTTTATTCTAATTAAAGCTTATTTTGTTGGAGTCAGCCCATTTTTCCATTCTCTTGAAACCTCTTTGGATTTTTGTTTGTGTCACCCTCTCAGCAGTACATCTTCTGGAACGAGGGTAAGCAGTCCCCGTATGTCCCTCTTACGAGTCATCTATGAAAAAGTTACACCGGGCGCCACCCAAATCAGAATGTCACACAGTACATCTGAAGGGCCTTCCCCTCCTACCATCCTCTGTCAACCTCTTTTCTCAGAACTCCTTTGTACTATAACAACCAGCCTGAGAATAAAGTTTGGAGGACTTCAATGCTGCAGGCCAAAGGCTACATTGTGAGTGTTCTGCACAGTGGCAGCCAAAGAACTTGACATTCTTCAAATGGGCCATGGAAACAGGTGCCCTAGAGCTGCCGCACCAGAACCCCCACCCACCCACCCGCCTGCCCGCGTCACGGAGGCTCTTCGGACCTCCCACTGGAGTTTTGAACCTGGTTTCCAAGTTAGCCACTTGCATGTTAAAGTGATCTCGAAGAAATCCGTCTCAGTGTCTATGTAGATTACATAGAATAGTATTACCCTTACCAATTGCATTTTTGGATAAGAAAGACAGCCAGATACGAGCTGACTTCATATCTTTGGGTGCCCCTGGGAGTCGATCATGTCAAGTTTGGGTCTGTACATTGAAAAGCACGGTCAGAGACAGGAATGTCTCAGAGGAGGCTAGTTGCCCATTCCATGTGCATCCTTCTAATGGACATGCAGCCAGCCATACAACAGATGTGGTATCTTAGGAAGAAATATAAAGTCTTCAGTGTCACCAGCATTTCAGTGTTTGGTCCTTTTTCCCTCTTAGTGGTTGATTTCTTTTTTCCTCTTACTGCTTGCTTCTCAGTAAACGAAGGAGGTCTGAAATCCTCACCCCGAACCTTGTCAGCCAGAGGGACATTCTGAATGTCTTCCCTTTCCCCTGAAAACTGCAACATCTAAAACCCGTACCAAGTCTGACACTACCTGCCAACTCTTTGCCATGGATAAACTTGAAACGCTCAAGAGAGAAGGGGACAATGACAGGCTTGTCAGCCTGAGGCTGCAGTGGCTGAGAGCACTTTTCAGAGAAAGCTCTTACCAGGCCAAGTTTTGCGTCCTGCCTGTGGCAGGAGAAACAAACTTCGTGAGTGGCCTGTGTGGCCTTTGTTAGAGGCAGCTACGGGCAGTTGACAGGCTCATGTGGCTTTAAGGACATGGGAGCTAAGAGGGTGCAAAACAAGTTCAGCCTAGAGGACAGCGAGGTAATGCTGTGCGCTCAGGGGAGGAGGGAAGGGACTCCGGGAAGAGACGGAAACCTGGCTACATTCTATTTACAGAGCTGCCCTCCCATTTCTTGAAATGGTGGTATTTACCAGTCATAGTGGCTTGTCATTAGAATCTTTTGTAGCCAAAGCCTTCTCCGGGTTTGGTCGCTTCCTCATAATATGCCTAAGGGGGTCGAGCAGAGGCAGAGATGGGTTTCCCCCATTTCGCGTATGGAAAACTGAGGCCCAGAGAGACTCAGTGTCTTCTCTGCAGTTCCATTCTCACTGCAAAAGATGGCTTAATCAGGTCACTCACGAAAGGCGCCCAGGGCTGGCCTCCAGTTGCGGGTAAATGACTGGTAGCTCATATTACCTGCACAGCTTCTTCTTAGCTTGATGTTAGTGATGGACATGGCACTCACTTTTTTGGCTCTAGGCATCCTGGAGTTTATCAGCCTGGCCGTGGGGCTGATCAGCATCCGTGGAGTGGACTCTGGCCTATACTTAGGAATGAACGAGCGAGGAGAGCTCTATGGGTCGGTAAGTTGAAGGTTTTCTTTTCATCAGAGGCTATTAGCACCAGTGTTTGGACAATGTAAGGCAAAAGTATAACACTTTTATCTGGCGCTTGAAGGCACTTTTGTCGATGGTAAAAAGCTAGCATCTTCTAGTCACGTGTGGCTGTCCAGGAAGTGGCTACATAACACTTGCACTCATTCAGCCCCCATCAAACCATAAGCTTTAGCCTGGCTGGTGTAGCTCAGTGGATTGAGCACTGGCCTATGAACCAAGGGGTCACAGGTTCGATTCCCAGTCAGGGCACATACCTGGGTTGCAGGCCAGGTTCCCAGTAAGGGGCACAGGAGAGGCAACCACACACTGGTGTTTCTCTCCCTCTCTTTCTTTCTCCCTTCCCCTCTCTCTAAAAAGAAATAAACAAATTTTTTTTAAAAAGCATAAGCTTTACTGTGGCATACTGTTCTCGCCTTTTCTATTCGAGGCCCAGCTGGTGTGATGATAATAGTAAGCTGTGCTGGTTTGTTCGTAGATGGTAAGGGTTTGGGGCATTGACCCCCCTGAGGAGTACATTTGGATTTTAATGCACGCCCAAGGGAGTGGCAGACTGGCCAGCACAAGAACAGGTAATGGAAGAGCTGGCCTTCAGATTGAGGCTTCCGAGGTCAACAGCACAGCCCCTGATTTTCCCGGGTTCCTCCTGCTGAGTCCCAAAGGCCAAATGAAACAAATACATGTGAGGGTTCCAGGGTGACAGCCCTCAGGCTCCAGCTAGGCCTGGGTTGGCTGCAGTGTGTGTTCTGTATTCTGGAAGCTGGCCAAGAGCTGGGGACCGGGCAGTGACTTTGCTGACCTTAACCCCTTCAGGGGATCCCAACTCGTGGCCTTGGCTTTTGAGTCACATAGCATGCTTTCTGGCTGCCTGCACCCCTTGAAATCAGAGCGCATTTTTCCCTGACACCTAAGCGATAGGCCTGTCCCCAGCACTCAGTATCGGCAACCCCAGCAAGTACGATGGCGGCTGGATCAAGTGTGAGAAGGGACAGAGGCAAGAGACTCGGGAGCTGCTAGCTTGAAGTAGCCAGATTGGAGGAACTGTGCAAGGAGATCTTTTCTAAGCTTGCCAACTGACAGGCCTGAGACCCTTCATCGGGAGAGATCACAGCTCACCTCTCGTGGGACTTTATATAGATCCAAGGCCTTTGCCTATCAGTTGACATGGTTGACTGGAATCTCTCTGGATTTGAACATCCTTAGCCCTAAGCAGGGAGACAACTCAGGGGTGCCAGTGGGGCTCTTGGGCAGCCATAGCAGAAATTCTCAGGCTCAGAAAAATCTCAGGCTCTGTTGTAGAATTGTACCCCTGACACCTGTATAATTTGACTAACCACTGTCACCCCAATAAATTCAGTAAAAAAGGTTTAAAAAAGAAAAAAAATCTCAGGCTGAACACCCTTGGCTCAGGAGGTAGCCAGGTGAGGCTAGCTCCTCCAGCGTCCTGCCTTCGGGAAAGACCTCACGTTAAATATTTTTGTGTGGCTCATGAAAGAGGCTGAAGGTGATACAGATAGGACTGTTTGGTGCTATTTGGAAAGAAGATACCTCACTAATACCAGGAGATGGGACTGCAAGTTTCTGCTATTGATGTGTTATTGCTATTTCAGGGTTCTCCGCCAGCGAGCTGGGCGGGGAGACATAGTCATATAACGGGCTCTGCTTTGTTTTCTCACCCTCACAGAAGAAACTCACGCGCGAATGTGTTTTCCGGGAACAGTTTGAAGAAAACTGGTACAACACCTATGCCTCCACCTTGTACAAACACTCGGACTCGGAGAGACAGTATTATGTGGCCCTGAATAAAGACGGCTCACCCCGGGAAGGATACAGGACTAAACGACACCAGAAATTCACTCACTTTTTACCCAGGCCAGTAGATCCTTCTAAGTTACCCTCCATGTCCAGAGACCTCTTCCGCTATAGGTAACGCACCCTAGGGTGACCTCTGTAATCCGTGTAACTCTGGGGCCACGGTTGTGTCTGCAAGCACTATATTCATAGCTTTTCAGTCCTCTTTCCTATCAATTTAGATAGCAGAGAAGCACTTGCTGTTCAACTCGACCCAGCTGTTCCCTTGTTGTTCAAAGTGTATATCAAGGTTGGGTTATTTTGGGGAGGGATAAGGGGGGAGGGGCGGGCTAGAGGGAATCTTGTATATACTCTTTTCCTTTACTCATGTTCTTTCCCCTGAGGTGGCAAGAGAAAGAACGGGAGGGGGCCCCTGCCAGGGGCCAGGGCTATCCTGCCCCACAATCTACCCAAATACCTTGACAGTAGGTAAATGAAAGACCAAACGATCTGCCACAGACGCTACCTACAGAGCTTTGGAAAAGTCTCATTCAGAAAATCCTCAGGGCTACAGCCCTGCTGCAGGCCCGGCCTGCGTGGGCTCTGCAGGTTTCTCATCCGTCCCGACATGCAGTTGTCCTGCCATCGGAAGTGGGAGATGGGGTAGGTTGCGAGAAAAATGCTCTTAAAATGTAAGCATGGATACTGTGCATAAGGACAAACTATTTATGAAATGTATATGCTATTTATTTTATATATTTATTTATTTCAGAATAATTTTATTTTTAATGAGAGATGCTATGACTGGATTTTCATCAGAAAGAATAAGGTCCTACTGAAATGGGATAAATGAGTTATTAAAGGCTTTTATTGGCAATAAAATTGTCTTTATATTGTAACCGCTGTTGAATTGCATTGACTGGTGCTTTTCATAGGATTAGTTGGTTAGCTTCTTTTGCTCCAGCTCCTTAGAATCTGATGGTAGCATCACACTACTTAGGCTCTCGATGACCCATCCTTCACGGTATTAGCATGAACGAGGGGACCTATCGGAAGTCCTTGCTAATTCCATGACATTAAATTTCATGGTGAACCAGAGCTTCAGGAAAGCCAGGATCAACAGCTCTTTTGCAAGCTCCCACTTGAGCTTAGGACTGGGTATAGGGAAACCCTCCTTTGAATTTTTAGGGCCCAAAGCCCAGAGGTCAGAAACCCTAATGGGTGACTTCTTACTTTATTTACTTATTCTTACAAAAGAAAGTTGATTTACAAAGTTATAGAGGCAGTGGAGTGAGTCATCTGGGCTCTGTGGGCTCAGGAAACAAGTTCCAGAAGCAAAAAAAAAAAAAGGGGCCCTTGGAGTTTCGCAAAGAGAAAGGCTATGGTAGCATGCCTCTGGGAGGAGAAGGTGGGGACAGGAAGGTGGGGAGCCGGAGTTTGCCACCGTGCTCCCATGGCTTCTTACTTTAGATAGGAAGATGATGGGATTCAAAATAAACACAATCAGCCCTGGCTGGTGTAGCTCAGTGGGTTGAGCGCGGGCTGTGAACCAAAGCAGTGCAGGTTCGATTCCCAGTCAGGGCACATGCCTGGGTTGCAGGCCACGGCCCCCAGCAACCGCACATTGATGTTTCTCTCTCTCTCTCTCTTTCTCCCCCCACTTCCCTTGCTACAAAAATAAATAAATAAAATCTTAACAAAATAAACACAATCAACAGGGAAACTGATTTTTTTCGAACCAGTCAACTTACCTTCTGGAGGCACCGCCCTACTCCCTGTGCAATCCCAACCTCCATGCCTCGCCAGCGCTTTTCCTATAGAATTCTTGGAAGCTGTTAACACAGCTCCCTAAAGCAGTTGTTCTCCCAGTATAGAATCTCTTGACCAGCAGCATCTGGGAACTTGTTAGAAATGCAAGTTATCAGGCCCTACCCTAGACCTGCCCAATCAAAACCTCAGGGCAGCATGGGGGAAGTCCAGCAATTTGTATGTTAATCAGCCTCCCAGAGGATTCCTGTACATGTTAAAGTTTGAAGCCTACCTGCTATAAAGGGATAGTTTTCAAAAACAATTTTGTGTGCAGCTGAATGGCTTATAAATAAACTTTCGGGATAATTTCAGTCCGTAAAAAAAAAGTAGAGTGGCGCTAGGTAAATGGGGAGGCTGGTTTAAAATCCTTGGCATCTTTACTGATATGTACTGAAGCAGGAGCATATGGCTAGTAGCATTTCCAAAATGAATATTGTCAGGAAATAACCGAAGCAATCAAAGTCTCACTGAGTACTCAGGTACCAAGAAGGGCTAGTGGGAAATGGTTTGCGCCTTAAGATAGTTCCTCCTGCTGTGGCTGGTGTGGTGTGGTGGTCGAGTGCTGGCCTGCAAACTGAAGGGTCACTGGTTCGATTCCCAGTGAGGGCACGAGCTTGGCTTGTGGGCCAGGTCCCCAGTAGGGGGCATGCAAAAGGCAACCAGACATTATTGTTTGTCTCCCTCTCTTCCTCCCTTCCCCTCTCTAAGAAATAAGTAAATAAAATCATTTTAAAAAAGATACTTCCTCCTGGTGTTCCTCCATCACATCATATAGACATCTGCTAGTTTTCCAACTGATTGAATGGGGAAAGCAAGTAGCTTAGGTAGCGGCTCACTTAAAAACCCACACGAAAAAGTCTATAAAAGCTTGTCCACATCTAAATACCCACCAGGAAAGCCACACACACGAGACTATACATAAGATAGCAAATAAGACTGCAGAATGAAGAATGCTAACTTGCATTGTGTGTGTGATCATATAGCGCTCACCAATGGAATCACCAAGGCAGCGAGTGCCCAGGGCTAGGGTGGGCAGGGAAAGTTTCCTGGAAGTGGTCATGCCTGCCATGAAGAACCAACAGGATTTGGAGAGGCAACGTGGCTGACGGACAGGTATATGCTGGACTACAGGGAAGAGACATCACCTGCAAAGATCTCTGGGAAAAGGATGAAAATCAGCTGGGTCACAGTTTAAATCACATTTTAATGTGTATCACACCTTTGCTTGAAAACCAAAATTTCACCTACATTATCTATGCTCAGCTACCTACAAGTCTGATAAAACAGCCACAACTACTTCGTTTTTCTTTTTCAATGGCAGTTGACATTCAGTATTATTTTATAACATCTTCGTGTGTACATCAAAGTGGTTACACATTTACAGAAAAATGTATGAAATGATGCCCCCGATAAGCCTAGTACCCACCTGGCACCATGTATAGTTATCACAGTATTCGTGACTGTATTTCCTATACCGTACTTGCAGCCACGACTCCTGGGGGCTTGTGAGATACATGAGAGCTCTTTCAGCCAATAGGAAGCTGGCACTGCCCCGTGCGTAGGGCCAGTATTACTCTAGTGAGGCAATTCACACAGGCCTGACACGGCCTGACAGGGCTGCAAGCACCACACTGCGGGATGGGATTTACCAAAGAAAACACCACTCTGATGAAAAAGGGAAAGACTCCCAATCAGGCCATACATTTTCCCTCTGCATGGAAGTAGAGGGAAACGAAGAGGGAAAGGCTGTAGGCTCCAAGGAGGCAGGAGGAGTTCATTAGGAGCGAGGGAGGCACTCTTTGGTATTGAATTATAGGAATAACAATGAAGGGGCATATGACCAGAAAATGTCAATAGGCAGCTGTTTTCATTTTGGAAAAGAGGGGAAAGATAAGTTGTGGGAAAGGAAATGGAAAGGAGATGACCTAGTATCCGTAGCTCAGTCAACAGCTGATTGCCAACCTAGAGGGGATTTTAGAGCACAGGTGGCAAACACAAGGCCCACGGGCCAAATCCAGCCCTCCACCTTGTTTTACCCAGCCCGGCACCTTGTTTCTACCTGGCTGCAGCTCCAAACTCTCGCTTAACTGTTGAGGAGTAGTTCCATGTATACAGTCCTAAAGTTACATTCGGCCCTTTGAAGGTGACTGCGAGGCTAATGTGGACTTTGGTGAAAATGAGTTTGACACCCCTGGTCTAGAGCAATAGGCTCTGGACCTCTGGTTTTGAATGAAAACACACAGAGACGATTTTTTACTCATTCTTGCATCCCTCCCAGCGTTTAGAGTGTTCCTGCAATGAAATGAACATGTGGCAAATGTTTGTTAAATAAAGGAATGGTTGGTTGAAAGAATGAATGACGAAGTGAATGAATGGAGAGAGACAGAGACACCTTTAGCAAACGTGTGTGATAGCAACGTGTAGCAAACAAATGCCGGTGAAAGAGTAAATGCATCATCTAACTGAATCATCTGAACTGTTATGGTAAGTTCTGAGTATTCTTTTTTTTTAATTTTTTTTATTGTCATTCAGTCACAATTGTCCCACATTTTCCCCCTTGCTCTCCCCTGCCCCATCCATCCCCATTCCCACAGTCAGTCCCCTCCCCCATTGTCTGTGCCCATGGGTCCTTTATACATGCTCCTTGATGACCCTTCCCCTTCTTTCCCCCCATTATCCCCTCCTCCTCCCCTCTGGTCACTGTCAGTTTGTTTTTTATTTCAATGTCTCTGGTTCAATTTTGTTCATTTGTTTGTTTTCTTCATTAGGTTCTGAGAATTCTTATAAAGGCAAAACTATGACAAACTAGACAAACAAGAGTATGTCTCAGGAGACATAGTGAATCCCTGTCAGTGGAAGTTTTTAAGCAGAGTCTAGACATCGTCTTGACAAGGATGTTGAATCATGGAGAGGGGACAGGGCGAATACTAGATAAAAATGGTGGAATGTGGCGTTAGTTTGAGGTTTACTCTGTGGGGCCCTCACATTTCTCCTGAGTACCAATAGTGGTCCAAGAAGACATATATATTTATAATGTATATGTATTATATGTGTATATATATATGTATTACATGTATATGTATTATATACATGCATATATATATATATATATATATATATATATATATATATATATATATATATATATATATAAGACCCAAGAGTGCTACCCAACTTCTAGGCCATGGAAAACATTGTACACCACAGGTTCCAAACTTGGGGTTCCTGACTCCCAAAAGTATGTATATTCTTATGTGTATGTACATCTCACCTTTCACTGGTTCTCAAAATATCCCCTAAAATGTTAGGAACAACTAAGTACCTTATGACTTGCTGTGGCCTCAAAGCATCTGCTATAAGAACCGATGGCCACTGTGATCACAGTGCAGAAAACCTGACAGTCTTTAGTTTGGGAGTTTTTTTCCCCCCAAAGATGTAGATTTATATGTGAAACCTGTGAGTCCTGTCTTGTAAGACATAGCTTCAAGTGTGGCAAC